GTCTACACCTTTGGCAAAGAAGTTGCTCCGTAAAGTGCTCTGAGCTCCTATCGATGAAAGCCAGGTGTCAATGGAAATGAAAATAGAAAAGCAGGCTTTAGAAGAAACAGGGTAAAAGTAAGCATTCAAGTATATGGTTATTGATATTTAGATTTATTGTACATGCTATACGTCTATATTAATAATTAATCTCTCAACATCTGGCCAAGTATTAACAGAGATGCTTTATTCAGGGCTTCTGAAAATAGGGTAACTCATGGTTCAACCTAAAAAACAAATAAGAAGGGGTAAAGTCACAGAAATGAACATTGGAAACCGGACTGGGATAAATGATCTCTCTTGATATCATTATTGAAGTATAGAAGATAGTCTGTTGAACACTAGTAACACAGAAGTTTAAAAAGTTCAATTTTTCAAAAAGGCAATTGTCATCAAGTTGACTCTTGACTCATGGTGACCCTGAGTCATGGAGACTCCTTATGTGTCAGGGGAGGATTTTACTCTATAAGATTTTCAGTGGCTGAATTCTCAGAAGAAACCTGCCAGGCCTTTTGTCTGGAGCACCTCAGAGGTGCCTTTTGACTAGTAGCTGGGTATGCTTATACTCATAGAGCTTTACCAGCTAAAGGCATTAAAACATAAATTCTAGATTAAGCCCCAGGTGTGTACTACTACCATATGGCACATTCATGGGTTTCAGCAGCACACAAACTCACATATTCTGAGGCCAGACTCTAAGTCAAGACCTGGACAAATTTGATTTCTTATCCAGGGTGATTACATACCTGAAATAATTGAGAAAATGTAAAACTTTTAGAAACTTTGCAAAATCCCAGGGTATCTTATAACAATTTATATGTTACTTGACCTTCAAATACTGTTTCCCAATTAACTGCTAAAGTGGATGTAATTACAAATTCTTTCTGGTCATTTATCAGTTGATTAGTATTTGCAGGATGCCAACTCTAGGCTAGCCATCATCTAGGAAAGTGATGATAAGCAAGCAAAGGTGGATGGCAATCCTACCTATTCTGGATTGACCGTCAACATTCTGTTTACAATGAATAGACAGAAGGTAAGCCCTTCATGAAGCCAATGGTCACATAGACATGACTCCAGTGAACATACCACAACTCAGGGGTGAATTCTAAGATTAGGACTAACTCAATAGTTTGAGATTTTCAGACACATCATCTACCCCTAGAAATAATGCCAGAGTCAATGCATAAAGCTTGCATTGCCCTGCGCTCGCTGCAGTGTGATTTCAAGACGTTTCTGGTTGACTTTGTTACCCTGGGCCCTTGGATCCAACAGTATGAAACTCTACAATCTTTAAAATCTTGAGACTGCTACCACAGATGAGAAACAACAGACACAGAACACCAGATTGTGACGAAATGCTTTTTCTTTGCCATGTTCTATGAACAGACTCCAACCCATGGTGACTCGGGTATGTCAGAGTACAACTACGTCCTTTAGGGCACTCATTGGCCAATATTTCACAGGAAGATTATCCAGACTTTCCTCCAAGGCTTCTCTGGGTAGATTTGTCTCCAGCAAGTCACTTAGAAGCCAAGCCATTAACCATTTGTTCCACTGGGAGACTTGATGCGATGTTAGGACTAGGTAAAAACTATAAGCAACTACAAGTAAGTGAGGAGCCACCTGTCTGTCTCACTCTGTCTCCAAGGCAAGAGAAATAAGGATGGAGGTAGAATCTCTGCCCCCAAACTTACAAGGACATAAACTACATTTGGAATAATGCATTTGCATATGGACCACTGGTCCCTCCCACAATGTCTGCAGTTCTGTCCACAGCTGGCTGGCATAGTGGGCTACCATCTGAAGTGCTAACTACAGGGGAAGCAGTGCAAACCAACTTCCTGGGATAAAGAGGAGGCTATTGCACCTGCAATGATTTAAAGTTCTAGCCCAGTGGTTCTCAGCCTTCCGAATGCCATGACCCTTTCATACAGGTCCTCATGTTGCGGTGACCCCCAACCATACAATTATTTTCATTGCTGCTTCATAACTGTAATTTTGCTGCTGTTATGAATCATAATGTAAATATCTGATATGCAGGATATATTTTCATTGTTACAAATTGAACATAATTAAAGCACAGTGATTAATCACAAAACAATGTGTAATTATATATTGTGAAATATTTATTTCTAATTACAAATAAATGAAATTTTGTCTTGAAGCATGGTGTAGCATGGGTAACAGTCTTCACACCAGGTACTTGTATGTGGGCGTACCTGCATGTGGGTGGACCCACCTGGAGACGGATAGAGGAGCGGTGTCTCAATTGCTTAGATCATCGGAAATATGTGTTTTCTGATGGTCTTAGGTGACCCCCGTGAAAGGGTTGTTCGACTCCCGAAGGGGTTGCGACCCACTGGTGAGAATTGCTGTTCTATCCTGTCCTATAGGGTCACTATGAATCAGAATCAATGGCTATTAGTTCTTTACTAAGCAACAACTAGCAATATATTTCCTGGTTCCCTCCAGCTGTGTAACAGTATTTTGGCCAGTTCTTCCTATATTAAGACCTATGTCTTAAAGCAGCAATTTCAGTTTGAATAGCATTTAAAGTACACTACCTCATATTCCTTTTTATCAAGTTTCATTCGTCCTCATTGTGAGAACCTGGTCATAACTTCTAGGTCCCCATAGATGAGCAGCTCAGCACTGATTTGTAAATCCACCACCTCAACTCAGAACCCCTGTGCTCAAACCATGCCACAGACAAGATTTTCGATAAAATAGAATGAAAATTAGCCGTTCTATATAAGAACACAGTCTCAGAGACAAAATTTCTAACAAACTATTTTCTTTATGCTTAAGAATAATGGAGTGAAACATGCTACGTTGTAGTTACAGTCTGAAGGAAGCCATTAACTGGCTCTGTGACAAGATTAAGCAATTTTTTCCCTCATAATTCATTAAGACACCCTTAGGCTATATTGAAAAATACAAGTACTTTATTAGAAATCTCAAATTTTGCAAATGAAGTATTGTGCCAGTCTAAGTGCCAGGAGTCTCAATAGGAATTCTAGTTATCTTGAAATAAAATATCTACTTTCCATTTCCCCCATGGTTGCACTGCAGTGAGAATGGTAAGACTTACAGAGAATTCTTCCAGTTCTTATCCTAAACCAAGAGTGGGAAAGGAGTCTCAATTTTACTTCCAGGGATTTCCCCAAACTTTTGGAGAAGGATTTAAGCACACACTCTCCTGGAAGATATCATCAGAAAAAAACAAAAACACCCTCAAACTAAACCCTTCAAGAAAAGTAGGTTAATCTATTAGGTCCTGATTCTCTTGGATAGATTCTGTCCTTGGGGACATCCACTCCAAGTGCCTCTAAGGAAAGAGAGCACCTGATAGGATAAGAAAAACAAATGCCACAGAAGCAGCAACCCAGCCCAGACCTGTGTGCCAGGAACCTCAGAATACAGCAAGGCCTGTGAAGTGGATTGTAGAATTGATTTAAAACACTATAACCACTCATTCCACCTTGTCACTTTAAGAGAGGTCTCACAGAACAGAGGCTTTCAAAGGAGACTTGGGCAAACATCAACGTCACTTAGAAATTTTTGCAAATGCAAGTTGTCAGGCCCAGCCCAGGCCAGAAGTTCTATGAGTAAGCCCAGCAATCTGAGTTGTGTTTTAATGTGGTCGGGCTTGTGAATCACTGTGGTATAATGAATTAACATCATTGTACTGTAATCCTTCTCCAAAGCCTTACTTATCATTGGAAAGTGCAAATTTTCCTCTTCTTAAAGGGAAGTCTTGGATCAGTGAGCCAAAAGCTCTTCAAGGAGTGGGGATATTTTAACACTTAATTGACCACAATCCCTCCCTGTTCATTTTTGGTGTAGGACCTTGGTCAGAGTCACCAACAAAGAGAGAGAAGGAAGTATCCGATGTAGATCAGGTTTTCTTCAGAGACCAAAGTATGCCAGGCAACTTCAAACTCACTGCTATTGAGTCAATGCTGCCTCATAGTGACCCCCTGTGAGTTCCTGGGGCTGTAACTATTTACAGGAGTAGAAAGCCCAGTCTGTCTCCCAAGTAATGGCTGATGGTTTCAAACTGCCGACCATGCTGGTCACAGCCCAACATGTAACCTCTACTTCACAAGGGGCATGCCAGACAACTTACTACTATTTAAATATGCTCTTCACAGTGAATAAGCAACATTCACAGAGATAAAGATAACCCATCAGATTTGCCCTCCAACACGAATAATAAGAGACATCACTAAGACTTTTTGAGTTTTCCTTGGCTACTTGGAAAACCACACAAAACACAATAGCATATTCACCAATATACAAGTTTATATTCCAAATAAAATGCTTTTAGTCATTGAAAATATATACATTTTACAAGATCATCTATACAATTATATTCTGTTCAATTCATGTTCAGTCTTCAAGGGAGACCAATTATCTATCCTTGCACAAAATAAACTCTCATTTTTAATCCTGAACTGAAAAATTTTCCACTAACAAATAAAAGGCCCCCATTTACAAAGTTTCGATGGACCACCAAGGCTTGATTGTATTTTTCTTCCCAACTCTGGAAAAGCAGTAGTAACAGCTAAAAGCATACCACCAAAGATGTAAGTCAAATGTCAGCAGAAAGAACCTTTGTGCACGAAGTACAACATGTTCATAAGTGTCCCTGCCTACTTTGTAACCAGAGGGGAAGTCGAGCACAGTCTGCCTTCATCATGTTGGGTCACTCAATGCTCCAGCCAGCAGGCCTGTGTCGGCTTGTGACAGCTATCTGCACTGGAAGGCGGGGAGTACTGCGTGCTCAACATTATCGCAGCGGTCTTGACTGGTAGTAACAGATCCTTGTTGCTGGTTCTCCTGCCTTAAAACCTAGTTGTCATTCTCTTAGCTGTTTCCTTCTCTACTGGTAATTAGCATTAGTCATAAACCAAATGCTTCCACACATGAAGTAAACTAAACATAACCCTTCTTACCTTTCATGCCAAACTTGGAGTGTCTTGCTAACTTAAGCAGAAACAGCATCACCAGTAGACAAAATCCCACCACAGACGCAATTACCACCACAGCATAGACCTACAAAAAAAGAAGAGAGTTATAGCCTAGCTTATTAGCCCCATGTGTTCATATAATGGTGGGGGTGATGGTGATGATAAAGAAAACACTTCGCACATATTGATTGGTAAAGCAGAAGAGCAGAGAAGAAGAGGAGGAACTTCGATGAGATGGACTGACACAGTGGCTGCATCGATGGGCTCAAGCCTAGCAACAGTTGAGGATGGTCAGCACAGGCAGTGTTCTGTTCTGTTGTACACAGAGCTGCTGTGAGTTGGAAACAACTCAATGGCACCTAACAACATGATTATTATACGACCATTAATTATACTAATATCTCCAGTCATTAGTCTTTAATACTGTTATATTTAGTATTATTAAATCCCAGGAGCTCCTGAGTATTGTAAATAGTTAATGCACTCAGCTGCTAATGGAAAAGTTAGAGTTTCAAGTCCACCCAATGGTGCCTCAAAAGAAAGGCCTCTCAATCTACCTCTGAAAATCAGATGTGGAAAATCCCAGGGGATGGTTCTCCTTTGACACAGAGAATAGACAGGAGTCAGAATCAACTCAGTGGAGACTACTTTTATTATCTGAGTGAGTGAGTTTATGGTGCCAACCTGGCCGATAAACACATGTGGGATTAATTGAAGGGCGGAGGGATAAATGGATTGGTGAGCCTCGCCTTTCTAGTTCTCAGGTCTCTTGCTTTGTGATGGTCACACCAGGGTGCAGCTGCCTTAGCAGTTCCCTGCTTCAGCTTGCAAGATTGACTTCCTACAAAACATCACC